CCCCCCCCGCCAAACGTAAGCACTCCAGTTTTTTCTGGCACTTTGTGGGACGTGTGTTCCACAGATGCATGAAGGGAACTGCATGGCATCTGCGTCCAGGCAGTAGCCAGGAGTTCTGCTGGCTTCCGAGAGGCTGGCCATCACTCTCCAGCATTCTCAGACAAGCCCTTGGGGTGGACATGGACGTGCCCTTCCTTCTTTCCAGGGCATCTCCCTGCAACCCACCCCCTGCCAAAAAAAAAAAAAAAAGCCTACCAGTCCTCTGTGCAATTCCGTTCCCATGTAGGTGAATGCAGGACGGGGGGAGTGCTCTGGAATGAGTATCGGTGGATGCCACACAAGGGAAAGACCCCTCGAGAGTAAAACCTTTCCCTCCCCACTCCTGACACGTACCTTCTCATCAGCGTTTTTCCGCAGGGGGTCTGCGAATGGTGACCCGTCATCAGTGGGTGCCGGCACTGGGGGATGCCGCTGAGTTTGTTCCGTAGGTGACCCTGCACCCAGCCCAGACCCCCAAAAACCACTGCCACCTGTCACACAACAAAAGTTTATTGAAAAATAAAGTTCTCCCTAGTTTTCTCTACAACGTTGGAAAACAAAGCAGTGTTCTCTATGCAGGTACAGTACGTTTGGACAGCGACACCTTATTTGCAGAATCCTGCACTACGTGACCCCGGAAGTGGACAGTAGGAAACGGTTGTACCAGGAGCTGTCTGAAGACACACACGCACACGGCCGTTAGCGTAAGGACATCAAGGCTGTGAAAGCAACTACAGTAGGAAGGATGGCGCCTGCTCCTTTGGCGTCCCGGGAACACTCGGCATGCCAGCCAGCAAAATGCTTCCCGGGTCTGCTCCTTCTTGGCTTTGGCGGAGGTGGCGGGCCACGCTATGGTCCCATCCGTCCTGCTGTCCCAGCAAGGCTTTCGAGGCCTACGGCACTGCCACCTGCCTGAGCACCTGCCCCGTCCCCCGGCACGGCCCCCCCACCACGGGAGCACACAGCTGCCCTCTGCCATGCCTCACCAGCTGCCGGGGGGGGGGTCCCCAAGGCGCCACAGAATCTGGGGTTAGAGGGAACGATGCTTTGAAGAAGGCAAATTCCAATCTTACACCCACAAACATATAAGACTGCTAATTGATTCCACTAAAGAATCCAAAGGAACTTAGAAAGACCCCGGACTCCAGCAAATTCCTCCATATTCCCAACGGCAGTCTATCCATATTAGTGCCAAGACAGAAGATAAAACTCTAAAACCCCAATAAAACAAAAAGCAAACTGATATTTAGGTGATCTGGGAAAACATCACTGAGTAGCCTCTTGGGAGTGGTTCTGAAGAAACTCTGTATCCCCCCCAACCTCCGTGCCCACCATAGCTCCACCCGAGCGGTTAGTCTTGGGGTCCCCAGGGTAGCCAAGCCAGCTTGGGGGGTGGGGAGGTCTTTTCGGGGAATGGGCCCAAAACAAACATGTGACCGCTAACCAGCCCAGGGTCTGAGCCCTGTGGGTTGGAGTGTGGAGGGGCCGCCCCGGCCAGCAGGGAACAGCAAAGGGACTTTTTGGGGGAATGACAAAGTTCAACTGGCCATTCCTTTCTCCTTAAACAACACACAAAGTCTTTATTATTTCATTTCAGAGGAATATAGTTAACTTTGATTTAAGGGGTACAGTCTGTCAGAGAACTTATTTTAATTCTAGCTCAAAAAGCTCTACAAAGAAGAACCCTAGCATGGTCCAGAAGACATCAGTGGGGTGAGGTCCAGCATGTGGGTCACCCTTTTCATCTCCAGTTTACACGTTCTTACAGCCTAGTTCCATCTGGGGCTGAAGTCAGGGATATTTGCAAATCAGTCAGTGCATTCAGGGATACCGTAACATTTTGGCCAGCAAGATGGGCATGGCACTTGGACATCCTAAACCAGAAATTCCTACAACATTCCATCAACTTGGAGGAATATTTTCATGGAGGTATTACTTAGCTCTTTCTCAAATTTTATGAAATGCTAATAACAATATTTAACATTTACGAGGGCTTACTATGTGCCAGACACGGCTAAACACTGAATCCTCACAAAAACCTTAAGTGCTAAGAAAAGCTAGGGTAATTTTTTTCTGCATCTGAGACTATACAACTAATTTGGCCTTTTGCTAGAAAAACATAAGTTTCCAGTTTCTGCTGAAGCCAACAGGAATGAAAGAACTCACCCTCAGCTTTAGGAAATCCCCACCTCACTAAAGAAGTCTGAATCTACTTCTGTCCATCCAGCTCTTCCCACGGAGATGCTCTGCAGCCCTACAGGGATGGATGGGATTAGAACGAAGCCAATGTGGAAATTAAAATACTTTAAAATAAATAAAGTAATCCAGGCTTGGGATGGTAATGCAACCGAGCCTGTCGTTAACAAAATATATATTTTTTTAAATCAAGGATTTTGGGGGCATGAGAAAGGGTGGTACTTGTCCCAATTATATACACAGTCTAGGTAAACCACCTTGGAGAAAGGGGATGGCCTGCTTTGGTCTCAAAAGCACAAACCCACCTGTACACAGCATACAGTTTTATCACCTTTACTAAAATAAACCCCATGTTCCCTAGGGAAACAACAGGGGTGCACAGTCTTTCCCCTTTATGGTAGTCAGATCAAGTGTTTTGAGGACTGGTCCTGTGCCCTAGGCCACACCTCACCGGGTGCCTGAGTTGCGGGGGGGCACAGGCCTGTTGGCACGTTGGCGACCAGCAGTCCTCAGATCCGAAGACATGGAGCCGCCTGGGAGGAAGCCAGCCCTTCTCCTGGGGGTTCTCATGGCCTCATGGGGGCGCACGAGCACATATGGCTGTGGCCTAGGGGGCTGAGCATCCTCGGTGACACAAGGGTGTGTCCTGCCTTCAAGCTGGAAGATCTGTGATCTTCCTTAAATGGTACCCAGATTCTAAAAACCAACCCCAAAGAAAAGTGAAAAGGCACATCAGAAACAATAAATATCAAAGAAACACTCTCAGTATTTCAAAACACGGAGCAAACACACACAAAAAGCAAACTAAAGCAGTGACGAAAACTCAATCCAGGCAAAAATGCAACAGTGTCTCCATTTGTACACGTGCAAATCAGATTACAGACGTGAAACAAAGGAGGTTTTTACTGGCATTAAAAGAAGTGTGCTTCCCCTTTCGGGAGTCTTCACTCCTGAAAGTGTTTATGGTTCAAAGGAAAGCTTTCTCTCTTTTAATAAATTAGGTTCATTTCCCTCATGTTTAGGAATTTAGGATCACGGCGGGGGCGGGAGGAGCGCCAAATTTTACTAAGGAAAAGAAAATGGACAAAAACAGGCAAGGTATGCTTATGACACAAGACGACACAGATCCTGACTTAGGATCTCTGTCCCTGTGTAAATCAGCAATTAAAAATTAGCTTAGGATTCTGCTCAGATTGGCAGTAGCAAAACCACCAAAGGCTCCCAGCTACACTCTGAGAGGCACAGCCCTCTCCCAGGGCAGCCAGCAACTGTGCCCCTTCCACACAGGGCAGATGGAGGCCCCCTCCCCAATTTCCTCCTGGGGGGGCGCTGATCAGATGTGGGCTACGGTGGTGGTGGCCTGGGGGCCGCTATACATTCAGGTGTCACTGCCTCTGCTCATAATGCCCTGGACACCTGGACTGCGGGTTTGTCCCAGAAGCAGCAGCTATACCTGTGGAACTCCGGGTCCTTCTGGCCACTACCGGACTGCGGGGGGCAACACCGGGATCTTCAAGGGCGGGCAAGTGCTCTGCGGGACTGCTAGACCCGAGTCCAGATGGAGAGGAGAGGAACAGCGAGGCGGAGAGGCCCTGAGCTCAGCAAACAGGACAGCCACAAACCATCCCTGCGGCTCCTGGAACACCAGGCCGGCGCAGCATCTTTCTCGGAACCGTGCTTTCCAGCTTCCTTGCTTTCTGAGTCCCTGGGCTTACTGAAACAGCTCTGCAAAATGGGTTAATTGGGCCAAGCTAGAGAAATCCGGTCTCAGCCCGCGGGCTCCCCCTGCTGGCCCAATGCCTGCATGACATCCTCTCCTCTGGAAGCTCCCACAAGAGCCCAGGAGAGGGCGGCCCTGGCCCAGGAATTGCAGCCCTGGGAGCTCAAGGGAATTCCCACAACCTAGGGGAGGAACCCAGAGGCCCATTCATAGGGAAAAGCAGTTCCTAACAACACGGAAGGCAGTTTCTCCTGCAGCAGGAATTGCCCTTGCGATACCTGGAGGAACATTCATATAGACACACACACAAACACACCCCCCTCATTGCCAAGATCCCATTGGACTTCTATGCTGGGCCCAGGCAGAGGGTGCTCTCAGCTAGTTCCTGAGGGGCCCCTGCACCCACGCTCAGGGCCCAGGTCTCCCTATCAGAACTCTCCTTGTCACATGTGCTCAGGGACCACCTGAAGGGTGGGGGAGACCCTAGCTACTCCTCCTCACTCCCTCCACTCTCTGGGATTAGAGGTGAAACTGAGCGCCACTGGGAATCTAAGAAAAAAAAAGGCTGGCTGTGCATTTGATCCTACGGACGCACAGGGAAGCATGGAGAGGCGGGCACCATCTAACTTCCCATACCTAAAGGCTCCACGGGCCCTGTGGTCTGCACGAGGCAGGATTCTGATTTAGTTCCCTTCCTGAAGGCCCACCCAGCCATGAGCCCTGCCGAACTGTTCTGCTGGGCTGAGGCTGGGCTGGCTGTCCCAGAGGGCAGCCAGGGCGCCGGGAAGCACAGAGCTGCAGCGGGGGAGCATGGTGCTAGGTGGCCAAGGCACTCAAAACCACCAGCGAGGGCTGGGTGGGTCACGCCACAGCTCATGACTGGCATGTTCTGCAGGAAGGAGAAGAGAGCTCACTGTCACCAGCCTGGAGCTGCCAGGGGCTTCACAACCCACACACACACTTCTAGCCAGGGCACTGAAGCAGGGCCGGGTGGCGGTGGGGAGCTCCCACCACGGCAGAGACTGGGAACTCCAGGGTTAGCGGGGGCATCCAGTGAGTCTGACTGGGCCAACCTGCCAACTCGGAATACCCCCTCAGAATATCCGAGCCTTGAGTAAGAGCCAGCATCAGACTCCAACCCGGTGCAAGACACACACCTACACACCCACACCCACAGGTGATCGGCCAGGACCACACACCACGTTCATCCTGGCCTGCCCCTGCTCCCCCCGGCAACATCAGGGCCACTGAGAGCCTCATTCGTGGGACTTTGGTGCCATCAGACATGAGAAGGAACAGAACACAAGCCCACCTGCCTAGAGCACAGCTCTGGTTCTTAGGGGCCAGCTTCGCGCCTGTCCACACCCCAGCTCGGATAACCCTTTTCAGGAGTAAACAAGCATGACCCATGTTTCTACTTTCCTCCTTCCAGTGGCACTGGAGGGAGGGTGGATTTACCACAAACTAGCAAATGTCAATTCCCCAATCCTGCATTTCTTTCTTAAAGCCATCCTCATCAGAAATTAGGGCCAAGGTGTGTGCGTGCATGCATGTGATGGGGGGCGGGGGGGGGGGGGGGTCGAGGAAAGGAGCTCTCACTGCAAAGCGGCCCCATCTTTGGTCCCTGGCTGGGCTCTCAGGACAACACCACAGGCATGTCCCCCCATGCCCAGGAGGTGACTGTCCTCTAGCTGCCATCTGTCAAGCACACACAAGATTTTCTTGTGTTCTGCCACCATCCACTTTGAGGAGCTGGGTCCCTGTGGCTGCCCTCAAGCGAGCCACCGGCCCCACAGTGCACCCTGTCTCCCTCCTGCTTCCTTCCGGAAGGAGACAGGAGTAATAATACAGTGAAGGTGGACAGTAAACAGTGGGAAATCAGAGAAGCAAGACGTGTGATCAATCCCTCTGGGCCCTCCCCTGTTCCCCCTCCCTCCCTCCCAAATAAATAAGTTAATGGGTTTAGGAATGTTCCCGTAGAAAGTTCTTTCTGACAAGCTCCATTCCTCCTCTGGTTCTGTTTTAAATGAATCTTGAGACTCTCTTTCTACCTTGGAGCAGCTGCAGTGACACAGTCTCCTCAAGAAATTAAAACGAAGTTGTGCCAGGGAGAAGCCAGAAGGAGCAATACCAAATCGAAACCTTCCAGCATCAAGTTCAGGCTCTGGCGAGAGTCCCTGACTGACGTGGCGTCTGCCCCCTGGCCCTGTCCCAATGGGGTTGGAGCCACTGTTAGTCCCACAGAGTGAGTGTGGGGCCGGGCCAGGGGCTGCTATAGACAGTCTTTACAGAGAGCCACCTGGCCCTTGATGAAGTCCCGGCAGGGGCAGATCCTCTGGTGCCGGGGGTGGGCGCCCGCACAGCTGAACAGCAGGAGGTCACCTTGAAACACACAGTGCCTGTTCTTGGGGTCGAAGGAGGGCACCAGGATGTCCTTGGCCAGCTCTGAGCTTTGGCAGATCACCTCGTACCTGAAGGGGAAGAGAAAGGCACGAGGCTTAGAGAGGCAGGGACAGTCCTTGTCACTGGCTCCTTGGGCCCCCCTCCTGAGGTGTGGGGTGCACGTTTGGTTCACCTGTCATAAAAAGGAAATGGAAGCCTCCCTCTGACCTAGCAATTCCCCACCACCAGGAATCCGGGCTCGAGAAAGGTGTGTGTGTGTGTGTGGGAATGTGTGTTCGAGGCTGCCCACCGAAGCACTGTCTGTAAGGGAGAAAAAAATGGCAATAATCCGAATACTCACCAAGTGGGGAAGGGCTGAAGAGTTTGTAGCACATCTGTGCTTTCGGAGGTCTCTGCAGCCCTTGAGAGAGAATGAGGCAGAAATGCAAGAACCAGCGTGGAGAGCTGTCCTTGAGGAAGGCAAGTAGCGGAAGGAGATGCAGAGTGGGATCGACCTGCGCGCATGTGCGCCTCAGGACGAGAGGGCTACACCCCATAGTCTTAACGGTTACTTCAGAGGAGCGAGAACGGGGGCAAAGGCGTGTGTCATTTAAGTATTTTGAAAAATTCTGTTTAATATTTTTACTGGTGGTTTTAAAGGATTCATGTGACATGGCCTTAGTCTCCGGCTGGAAAGCCATCAGATGGTCTCCTGTGGGGGGTGGGGGGGTGTCCCGGGCCATCACTTCCCTGGACTGCTGCAGTCACCTCAGTCCGTGGCCATAATAGGCTCCCTCCTGCCCCCTGCCTGAGAGGCAAGCGCCTGAGGCTTCGGGACATGCAGGGCAGGACTGCAAACCGGGGCTCCGGCTCCTCCACCGTCTTCGCCCCACAGCTGAGACCCAAACCCTTGTGGCTTTGCCTCCCCAGGCTGGGGCCACTGCCTGCGGGGCCAGGGGGAGCCAGCAGTGCTGGCCTGTGTCTCCTCTATCTCGGGGAAGAGCCGCATCCCTTCTCCTCTGGCCTGGGGGACATTGGGCCCAGCCACCCCGTGGCCCCGAGAGCAAGGAGGCCTCAGCAGCTGTCTAGCACAGAGTCCTAACGTGCCAGCCGGGGGCCGGTTCAGAGCAGAGGGTGTGAGGGGGGCCGGGCGGCCCTGAGCTGGGGTCCTGACTTCATCTCCATGAGCCTCTCTCTGCTTCAGTTTCCTCTTCTGTAGAGTGGGGACAAATAAGCCTTAACTCACGGGGGAGCTGCGGAAATCAGTGCTCACAGAGCACTTGGCCGAGTGTAGCTCGGGGTAGGTACTCGATAAACGGGAACGATCACCATTGCCACAGCCGTTGTCATCGTCACTGCGGTCAGCCTGGCCCGGCGTCCCGTGTCCACGGGACGGGCTCTGCCGCCTCCCTCCCCTGCCCCGTGCTGTGGATGCACACACATGCCAACCAGCTCCACTCGGCTTTGTGCACAGAAATCTGCATTCTTGCTGACAGGGTGGGGACCCCGAGGGGCACTCAAGGTCTCCTGCTGCCTCTGGGACGCTTCCAAACGCTGGGGCGGCGGGGGGAAGCATCCTCCTCCCCGGTTCTCCTGCCCCCTCTTGTCTTCCTCCAGCCAACGAGCCGCCTGGCCCGCACCTGCCCTTGCCAACGGAACTGGACAATTCCCGGCACATCTGCTGGGGCTTCTCTGAGCCTGCCTGCCTGGCTCCTGGTGCTCGGGGGGCGGGGGGGGCAGCACCCCCTTGTAGGCTGCTCCTGCAGTCACCAGAGAGTTCTGCGACCTTTCTAAACGCCCTAACACCTCTGGTCGAGGTGTGCCGGCTGGGAGACGTAGCACCCAGACCGTGAAGGTCACGGACCATGAAAACAAGGGCAGGAAGTGCGGATTTATGGATTTCCTTAAAAAAAGAGTGAATCAGAGATCTGGGGCTACCAGGTCCTCTGCAGGATACCCCCACTGGCCTACCCCCAGAAAGGGTCCTCCAGAACTCAGCTGTGCATTACAGGTTTCCATACAGAACAGAGCTTTAGAATACAGAGTTACGCTTAGGTTATTTCTTTGCTTAGGTGACTCAGAGCAGCTCCTATGTCTTAACTCAAGCCAGCTCCCTCGTACTGCTAACCAGGGGTGTGGAGAGCTCTCCAACTCTCAGACCCCATGGCAGGGGTCTAACTGACAGGAGCCATGAAGAAACCCTCCTGCTTCTGCCCCTGGTCACCCAGCTCAGACCCCAGGCCTGTGCTCCTGGGAGTGCGCACACGTGTACACGTGTCTGTGAACACATCTCAACAGAGGCCGCCACGGAAGAAGCGTGCCCAGGGATGATGTCCGGAGACCTGCCACGAAGAGCTCAGGTAGCAGGTAGTCCCCAGCACGACACGTGATCTGTCATGGGGCAGCTCCCCGAAGGTGCAGCTGACAGGGGGCTATGGGCACATACGGCTCCAGACACTTGTGGAGGCCATCCGACCGTCGGGCCCCCAGGGAGCGCTCCCTTTGAGGAGTGCACAGGTCCCTGTCCTCAGCCCTGGGCAGTCAGACAGAACACTCCACCACCCTCGGGCCGAAGCCAGAGAGGGGAGGTGACGTTCGCCAACTGCTGGAGTGCATCTGGAAGCCAGCCTCCTCACTCCCCACTGCTGGATCCCTGGCTTTTTCAGAGCCTGTATGTTGTTGCTTGTGCTTCCCTGTTCTGTGATATCTGTCTGTCTGTCTCACACAGACACAGACACACTCACTCCGCCGCACATACTCTCTCACTCCCGCTCAGAGACCCCTAGCACATGGCTGCTTCCTTTCTGTAGGACCCCGTGGTGCTGACCTCTCCCCAGCCGGCCTCTTACAGGATGGGAGGGGGCTTCTGAGGCCCACTGGCCCTTGGTTTACATCATAGCTCCTGACCAAGAATAAAAAGCCGAAGCCCCACCTTCCCATGGGGCTGCCTACGTCTTGAGAGGATAGAAACAACTCATCCTTCCCGACAGACAGACCCAGGATGAAGGGATGCAAGCAGGACCCCACCTACTGGTCTTACTCCTCGCCTCTTCCCTGCCCCTGAGCTCCTCCCCTCCCCCTCAGCTCCTGCCCTGCTTATTCCAACCCTGACTCCACCAAGTCCCCCAAACTCACTCGTGACTTCTCTGACTCAGATGCCAGAGTGCTCGCGGTCTAGACTTCATGGTTTAGAACTGCCCATCTTCAAAAAGAAACGCCAGACTCAATCATTTAACATTTTAGAAGCTGTAACTTGAAAAAGTAGCAGAATTACAAATAAGGTGTCACATGAACACATGTTCCTACTTATGGAGCCAAGGTCCTCCCTAAGGGCCACCCCAGCTTGGACTCTGGCTTTTCCCGGGGCCTCTGCCTCTGGAACCCCGCCCCCTGGTCTGTGGCAACACACCTGAATCATGCATGTTCTGTGCACGAGAGTTTGTGGGCACCTCTCCGGCACTTACACCATGCCCTGCATGAACGGGAACTCCACAACCAACTGCCTGATTGCCCCTGATCCGAGATGACAGCATAGGACACTCCAAAGGGCCTGATCTATGTGATATAAATTCCTACTACACAGCGGGGATAGACTGTTAGTTCTTCAAGGTTCTTCAAGGTCATGGGCACCCAAAGACCAAAAGGAGCTTAAGCTGAGAACCAGGCTCCCAGGTGGAGAAGAAGAAGTAGCATGGGCCTGTAGGAGCCACTCACTTCACTAATTGGCCATGAATATGGATAAGCCAGGACTGCCTCATACTGAGGAGGCACTCAATAGACCACCAGCTAGCCGGGGCTTTACCACATTATCGGTATTTACAAATGCAGGAACAAGGTATTCAATAGGGCTCTTACATTCAGGGAATTAATTTCAGACAGCTTTATTACAGAATTAGCATTCATTGCTGCCTCCTTGGGAGAAAACCCACATAGCTACCGTGGGCTTGGGGAGAGGGTTGTGAAGCAATCCCAGGGCACAGGGTCTGGGCCACGGGACAGCCCCACGAGGTCTTCTGCCCTCATGGGCTCTGGAGGGTATGAGGAGGTGGACAGGGAGGCTGGGGGAGGGGACTGGCTTTTCTGGTCTCAGCCTGGCAGCCTCAAGCCTGCTCCACGGCCCAAGGCTCTCTGGATGAAGGGGTCGTTCTTCTCTGTCTTGGGCACCAGCTGCACATTATCTCATCATCACACGGGCTGCCCCCATCTTACAGGGGAGAAAATGGATGCAACAGAGGACACTAACCCACTGGCTCCCCTTTCTGTCCCTCCACTGGACCTACACCTTTGCTCCAGAGACAGGCTGGCTGTGTGGGGGCCCTGTGCTGTCTGAATCAGGCCCTGATCATCGGATCTGGGCAGGAGCCCTGACTCGTGCCTGGCTGGGAAGGAGGGCCAGGCTGTAGAGGAGTCCCAGTTGGCTTCCGTTCCTGGGACGCAGCTTCTCATGTGTCCTCCTCCAGAGGTGGAGACGGGGACTGCACGGAGACAGCTCTGTGTGCACTGTCCCTAGTCTACCCCCAGCGAATCCAGATAAACAGAGAGAGAGAGATATTCAGGGTTCTCAAAAAGCTACCTTGCTACAGGAGTTGTCTGCCAAAGGAGCCAGTAGGAAGCCCCTCCTGGGACCCCAGAATTCAGGATATGTGCTATGGAGACAGAAGCTTCTAGTACCATCTTTCCTTACATATCAGACCACCACCCCTTCTCACGAAGTTTCACTGGTGATGGAGGAGGGCACCACACTGACTCTCTTCTGGGCTTTGTTTTGATAGTGGAATCAAGGTGGCCTCTGAGCTTGGTCTTCACATAAAAAGAATGGGAAAAACCAGCATCCTCTACACCCCTACTCAGGGAAGCTTTCCCGCAGGCGAGATGTGAGAGGCCACGCTCTGTAAGAAGGGTTTTATAGCATGCCTGAGAAGAAGAAGATACAGGACGAGGCCCGCTCCGCGCTCTGGGCAGAGACGACTAGAGGCCAACCGCGTAACGGGGCACAAAGCCGGAACGGGAGAGAGGCAAGCCATGAGCAGTGAGCGCACTGCGTTTCTTAAATCTCCTCATCAGGACTGGACAATAGCACTGCTCTGCTGAATATCTAGGGTTGGGACAGCACGTCTCTTAACCAGAGCTATTCAGGGGGTGGGGCTCGGTAATTAAGTCAGAGGAGGTCCAGGGTGGGTGTAATAAAAACGGGGAGCACAGACTTAGCACTGACAGGGGGCACGAGTCAGAGGCCGGAAGAAACCTCATGTAGAAATTTGGGGTCTGCCAATGCCAAGAGAAACACACGGGAGCACTACAAGTCATGCAGGCATGAGGGGAAGCCCTCAAGCCATCCAGAAGACCTGGCTTCTGCCAGGGGAGCTCAGGGGTGGGGCCCCCCAGGCTTGTGCTTCTATGCCCATCTCCACTCCCACAGTTCCTGGGTATGACATGAACAAACCAAACCCTTCCCACCATCTCCGATCCCAAACACGGCCTTATTTCTGCAAATACAACACCCCCGTTCGAATTCTAAATCTATCAGCATGCCAGGGTGATCTCATCTACCTAACAACCAAACTGCTGGTCTAACTTTCTGGGGGAGTGGGGCAGTGGTGGGGAGGGACCATGCTGCAGCCTGCTCCCCAGGCCTCGTCCCTCTCAGCCCAGCTCTGACCCAGAGGTGTGCTGGAGGCTGGTCCGGCCCTCCCGACCCCCAGCACTTACTTGAGCATGTCTTTGTCCTTGTTGAGGTGCTGGAAGAAAGAAGGCTCACAGATGAGCTGGTTCTCCTGGCACACCTGCTTGCAGGACTGGCCGGGCTCAGCAAGCTTCACCTGCAGGGCGCTGAGGGGCGGCCACATCACTTGCCCGTGGCAGAAGTCCTACAATGACAAGGAAGCCATCAGTCAAGGGAGCAGGGACTCAGGCGGGGATCCCTGGTCTGCCCAGTGGCCCAGACAAGGTGAGGCAGCCCACGGTGAGAGCGGGGAAGGCCAGGAGGTGGGAGGTGGACAGGCTTGGTGGGAACTGGGCTCCTCTGGAACGTGTCCTTCGGCCAGGTCTTCGCCTCTCTCTGCCCAGCGGCTACCTCGTCCACAACAGGGGGACAAGAGTATCGTCCACACAGGGCTTGAGGATGACAGTAACATGTGTTTGGCACCATGCCCGCCAGGAACGGGGGCTGTTCGTTACCGGCACCTTCAGTCTCGCTATCTGAAGCCTCCACCCCCGAAGGTCCATCTCTGGGCCCACCTTCCCCAGCCGTTCTATTCTTCGCTCTAATTCCGAAGGCTTTTTCAGCACCTACCTAATGTGGCAGTTACCTAGCAGGACACTGTTTGGTGAGTGCTAGTTCTGACTTCATAAAGTGGAGGAGTCCACGGACACCGCAGATGGAGCCTGCCATGGGGCCGGGGCCTTGGTGGGGGCTCAGGGCTTGGGAGTTGAAAACAGCTGTAAAGGCACAAATTCAACAGCTACGGAAACAGCCTGGGATGTGTGATAGGAAGTGAAGTAACCTGGCAGAGAGAGGCGCCCACAGCCCAGCAGCTGCGGGGGTGCCTAGAATGGGGCAGGGCCAGTCACTTGGAAGATAGCGTGTCCAAGGAAGACCCGGGGTGGGCAGAGGGGCATGATGCGCGTGGGCCAGGAAGCCACCTGTGTGGCTCAGCCAACGGGCAGCCCGGGTGATGAGCACACAGACCCAGTGGGGCTGGAGAAGGGGCCGATGAGGAGGAGGGAGCTCTCCAACCTGCAACCCCAGGCTTTCACTCCGGCTGTACCCTGAGCAGGTCCCAGCAGTGGGAACTCATGCACCGGCGGCCCCCGGATCTTGCTCGGCTTACACACTGGATCTGGAATCCTAGACAGCTTCTGGAGTCGCTGGGCTGCCCCAGCTGCAAAAGGTGCTGTCTGTGCGGGGTACCTGGAGAGCCAGGCCTGCTTCACTGTTTTGGGGGTGGGCGAGCCCTCAGGGGTGTTCAAAGCTGTTCAGGATCCTGGGCTCTGATTTCCACCAGTAGGAATTCACCCTACAGACATATGTGGACACACAGGGTCGAAAGAAACCTACACAGGACATCACAGCAGCATTGTTAGAGGAGATGCAAGAGGTCTGAAATAATCTGAAATATTTCACTAACTGTTTAAACACAAACAATACTCCAAAATGTAACGGATTTCCATATGCTGACATGGAAACCTCTTCAGGACATCCTGAGGGCTGAAAGCAGCAGAGTGAAGGATGCTGTAGAGTGCGTTTCCATTTATGTCAAGCACAGGGGGAGAAGCTGGAAAGGTGCTTATAAACGTGCATATGCTCCTACGAGAATCTATCTGGTTGGCATGGGGGCCACTGAGAAGGGAACGAAGGAACATGGTCTGGAATGGTAAAGAAATTCACTTTCCAATCAATGTCCTTCTGAAATAGTTTGTTTTTTCTCATGTTTCCTTTCCTTGCTCTGTGCAGATGAGGAGTGGATTTGTAATCTCAGGGTTCTGGGCTCCCGGACCGGACACCCGCAGAGGAAATGTTTCATTCCCCCCATCCCCGGCTGGTCATGTGGAGCACTGCAAGTGGGCCTAGAGTTGAAGGCGGTGCCTGCCACTGCCCGGGCCCTTAGCAATGAAGTGGGTGCAGCCCCGGAAAGCAGGCCAGAGCTGCATCCAGGAAGACGCTATTGTATCGCGTGCATTTTTGTTTTTTTAAATTTGTGCTTGTATTACTTTTAGTGAGCAAAAGAAAACAGAAAAGAGCAAAGGGAATGCTCCCCAGGCTCTGTAGGCAGCCGGCTGTCCATCCTGCCTCATTAGGAAAACGAAGATACTGATGACTTCCTAAGGCTTCTGATTCGCCCTCTCTCCTTCCTGAAGGAGGTGATGCTGTTACGTGCTGAGAAAGGCGACTGGTGGGTAGTGAGTACTCAGTGCTGGGTTCCATTCTAGTCTCCTCCAATCAATGATGGGGACCCAGCAAGTAAGGCAAACCCGCTCTGCTCCTCCACATGACATGACTCTATCGTGAGGGGACTAGACTCCTTGAGAGCCTGAGTTTGGTGGCTAACAAACAGAAAACCCTTCACTGCATGTTTGAGACACCCTGAACGTGGATTCACAGAAGCTGAAAACAGAAGATTCCGCATAGCCTAGCAATGCAGAGATGACAGAAATACACTGGATTATTCAGACACATGAGGACCCAGCCTAACCTTCTGAAAGTGATGCATGGCAGGAGGTCGAGCAGAGTGGCTCCACAGCCCTGGACGCCACCACAGACCAGGAACGGGGCGGGAAGACCCTATCTGACTCCTCAGATTCATGACGATCTTTTTTTTTTTTTTTTAAAGATTTTATTTATTTATTTGAGAGCGAGCGAGTGAGCGAAGAGCACAAGCAGGGCAAAGGGCAGAGGGAGAAGCAGGCTCCCCGCTGAGCAGGAAGCCCGATGCGGGACTTAATCTCAGAACCGTGGGATCATGACCGGAGCTGAAGGCAGCCGCTTAACCGACTGAGCCACCCAGGTGCCCGATTCATGGCGATCTTGAGCACCAGTGTGTGCTTGCTAAGCCAGGGCGGCACAGTAACCCTGGGCTGGGTGCTGTTACTAAGGGTGACGGCATGACCCACAGCACCCCGAACAGGGTCACGGTGTTCACTGGTTGCTGTCGCTCTCTTACCTGACAGCATATGGAAGCTTACTGGCTGCCTTTTGGTGCTCTGTCCATCCCATGAGGATGGCTGTCACCAAACAGGAAGAAGGAAAACACATCATGATCAATGGAGTTATTGATTAGAGCTGAGCGGGTGCACAGATACTGGGAAAAGATTAACAGTTGCTTTTCGGTTTGTTTCTCTGGCTGACTAATGTAAGCAACTTGGCTTCTACTTCTTTAGAAGCAATCTGAGAACATCTATAGCCTTTGAGTATTATCATAAGGAGATTTTAAATGCAACACCAAAGCCTATGTGTGAGCGTACAGAACGGGCAGACATCCAGGAAACCAAATCAGATTACACTGTACATCACTAGAGACCACATGAGGATTTTTCTCCTTATTTCTAGGACTCAGCGCGGCCCACCCCTGGATGAGGCTGGGGACCCGGAAACCCACGACAGCCAATTCTGGCTTTTACAGCTTGTAAGAAAACACAGAATGTCTCTTCTCAGACGACACCTACAGGCAGTTAGAGCTGAGGGTACAGCTGTGCAGTCTGGCGGACCCTTAAGAAACAGCTTCTCATTCATTCTCAGCCTGTGTGGAGAAAGGTTCTGCTGTGTTAGACCAGGGAAAGTGCTTTGCAGATAGTTGGTGCACAATATAGAGCTGTTGAACTGAATTGAATGGTTTTGGCATCCTGGGGCTTTGACAGTAGAAGCAGAAAGGGACAATATTCTACCTCAGAAAGGCTTTCTACAGCCAGGATGAGATGTAATAATCTCCAATCTGGTTAACGAGGCCACTTAGAACACAGAACATCTGCATTCCTCTCCAACAATTATTTCACCCAGTCACCAATTCCCCTAAATTTCACTATTCTGAAATTTTCCTGCACTGACTCTAATAAGAAACATTTATCATCAACAACTTTAGGAGAAAAAGCAGCGTTTGCACAAGTGAAGACAATTTACTGGGGAACAGAAGGGAGCTACCTTTGTCACGAAGGCCAAGTCACAGCATGGAGAGAATGTGGCTCCCAGAAACAGCCAAAGAGCAGAGAAGATGATGGGGTGCTGCCCCCCCACCCCTCCCCATGGGGTGGCGGTGCTGGCCTGCCCCTCTCTCCTGGTTGTTTGTGAAGGGATCTCCTCCACAAACCCTCCAGCCCCCCAGTCCCGGGCAAACCATTAATAGAGTTACTACGCCCATGACATAGCGGGTGCAAGTGGATTTCAGCAGAAACTCTGTGCAGCCAAGAAGACAGGTGCAGATACAGGTCTGGGGGCAGATCTAGAGGAAGTAAGGCCAGGAATTTGGGCGGAAAAAGACAAAAGAGAAGAAAAGGAAGGGACAGGTTGTAGGCCTTGAAATTGGGGTTTGGGCCAAATTCTGCCAGCTATTTGAGAGGTAAGAGACACGTTTGTTATTTATGTTATAGCTGGGAGATCCAGGGCCTGGCACAAAAAAGGTGTGCAATAAATATTGACTGACTGGATTAAAGACATTTCAGTTGCCCATTGGTATCTCCCATTCTCGGCCTGTGCTGTCCTCAAAGGAGTGAACTTTGTCCCCAGGTGGCCGCTGGGCTGATGGGAGGCAGTGGGTGTGGATCTGTGTCTCCAGAGGCACAACTGAGGAGGTGGCTGTGACGCTGAGCTGTCACCACCCATCTCCATGGATGATCTCTACACATGCCAACAAGTGATGATGTGACTCATCTCCATGGATGATTGCTACACATGCTAACATGTGACGATGTGACCCATCTCCATGGATGTTCTCTACACATGCCAATATGTGACGATGTGACCGATCTCCATGGATGATCTCTACACATGC